GGGGGGGGGCTTGAGGAGCTGCTGATGGGCTTTGGGGTCTCCAGTGGGAGAGAGGAGCCAGCTCGGGTGCGTTCTTGGGAGGGGTAGGTGACGTCCCTCTGGCTCCCATCAAGATCTGAAAGACAAAAAAAAACAAAAACAAAAAAATCCCAGAATTTGGGGAACACGCTCAGGAAGATACTTAAACCCATTATTTCATAGGTCAGGGAGTGTGTATGGGGGTGTCTTTTGAAACCCAGCTTCGTTCTTCCCCAGAATAACAAGGAAATTCAATATAAACACCCCAAAAGGGAGCGAGACACCAACCCCCAGCTCCACCACTGGCCAAATCCAGCTCTTTTTTTTTTCTGGCTGCTCGGGCAGAAAACCCAGGTAAAGGGGAGGAAAAAAAGGTATTAAACCACTCCGGTCCAACCCCCATCTTTGCTTTTTTTTGCCAAGGGAAGGACAGAGAAGGACAGACGGACAGACGGACATTGTCTTACTGGGAAATCTTGCAGTTTGTCGTGGCAACGTAGCGCCCAGTGTAATGGATGTTGCACCTCACCACATTGTTGGTGAAGTCCGACTCCAGGACGATGTATTTGGGGTTGACTTGAACCTAAAAACAGGGGAAAGGGAAGGTAAACCACCCCCAAAAATTAGTGAGGGGGGGTGGATGAGCAGCACCTAAACCCGTGTTAAGGGGATGGCACCGAAAAAGGTGCGTGGTCCAAAACCCGATGGTTGAGAAGATCCCGAGCTGACCCCAAATGGGTAATGTTTGCCCCTAAAAACCTCCCCCAACGACCCCGGCCACCTTTAAGACGTAATTCCCCGGTTGTACGTCCGTTATATCAATCCACTGGCAGTCGATGTCAGCATTGTAGGTGTCATAGCAGCCCGGGCTCAAACCCTGTGAGGAGAAAAGGGGGTTCAGGGGGTGCTGGTGGCAGGTGGGGTGGTGAACCCTGAGGAGCCTTCGAGCATCCCCTCCCCCCAAAGCCACCTGGGTGTGAGCCGTGCAGGCGTAACGCTTCAGGTTGCCAAAATCGCAGGTGGTGTCCTCCAGGCAGAAGCTGGCTTTGTGGCCCTCAGCCACCTTCCTCCCCGTGGTGGCATCCAGCAGGTCGTAGTGGCTGAACTCGTCCATGCTGTGGTAGTGCCTGGGGACGAAGCGGGGACAGAGTTAGGGTGACCTCCCCCATCCCTGCAAATCGCCCCATCCCCTCCCCAGATGTGATTTTGGGGGCTCATCATCAACTCTGGGTCCACCCCAGCTTGCCAGCTCCCTCCTTGGGGACATTAATTGCAGGAGCTTGGTGGCTTTAGGGACAAAGAGGCGAAGCAAAGTGACACCTCCTCCGCCCCGTCCCGAGATCTCAAAGCCCCCAAAAGGGGGAATTGCCATTAAAAAAGCCTTAAAACGGCTGTGAAAAGGGAGAGCCAATGGAGGGGACACTCACTGGTGGCAGCTGTGCCACTCCCAGCTGTGCCGGGGCCGGCTGGGCAGAAAGTCAGCTGTGCCCTGGTTCTTCACCCGCTGGGGAAACCGGAGGAGCACCCGCACATCGTAGTCAGTGGCTTCGGCAGTGTAGGCGGTGCTGGGGACACCAGGGAGGGTCAATGCCAACGTCCCCCCTGCCCTCAGCACCCCCCAGGCCCTGGCACCCCCGGGGAGGAAAATCCCCAGCAAGTGCCTCTGTAGGGAGGGCTTCCTCCGCAGAAAAGGAGGTGATGAAAAAAGGAGGAGAGGAGAGAAGGTCCCCTGCTCTGCAGCACCCACCAGGGACCTTCCTTTGCACTTTGCTTTGCTCTTTCCTCTTTCCATCCTTTCCTTTCCCCTTCCCTCTTTCCTATCCTTCCCTTTCCTTTCCCCTTTCCTTCTCTCCTCCATCCTCCTCCTTCCTGCACATCTCCCATTCCCCCCCACCAGCCCACTCCCCATGTCCCCTCGACCCAGGACCCCCTTCTTGCAGCACCCACCAGGGACCTTCCTTTGCACTTTGCTTTGCTCTTTCCTCTTTCCATCCTTTCCTTTCCCCTTCCCTCTTTCCTATCCTTCCCTTTCCTTTCCCCTTTCCTTCTCTCCTCCATCCTCCTCCTTCCTGCACATCTCCCATTCCCCCCCACCAGCCCACTCCCCATGTCCCCTCGACCCAGGACCCCCTTCTCTCCCCTCGTGTCCCCATCTCCCCCTCGCCCCAGGATTCTCCCCCCA